GTGGCTGTGGCGATGGGCTCAGATATAGTAGGGATCATAAGGCTGGCACAGGACTGGGCACTGTTTCATTTTGCTGTACCTAAGGTCGCTATGAGTTGGAGATGACTCCACCACACATAACAATAACAACAATCTCCCATGGAGCAGCTGGTGGGTTTGCACCCCTGACCTTTGGTTAGCAGCCAAGTGCTTAACCACTGTGCTACCAGGACTCCTTTCAAACCATGTAGATATCTTACATGTTAACATTTAAGTGAAATTAACATTTTACTTTTAAAAATGAACATTTCTGAAATCCAATACTCAAGAAGTAACCAAAGTTAGCTGTCTGGAATTTATTCTTCCCAATTTTTCCATATGAATAGACAAATAATAATAGATCATTAAAATCCAAGGGTTAGATTGGACATACTGTTCTGCAACTTTCTTTTTTCATTTAACAATATATTTAATTATCTTGCATCTGTCAAATTTCCAAATTATTCAATCAGATAAATAATGTAAAACTACTGCAAGTATATCATGTAAATTTTTGATAATGATGGAGTTTACCTAAAGAGTTTAAAAAAAAAAAACAACTCACTGCCATCAAGTTGATTCCAACTCACAGCGACCCCTACTGGGTTTCCGAGGCAATAAATCTTTATAGAAGTAGATTGTCTAGTCTTCCTTCTATGGAGTGACTGGTGGGTTTGAACCTCCAACCTTCTGGTTAGCAGTCAAATGCCTTAGGCAGTATGCCACCAGAGCTGCGACCTAAAGAGTAACATATAGAATAAGCAAGACTTTGTAGCAAAACAAACTCTCTGAACTCTGGGCTTGTCTGTTGTTGTTGCTTGTCTGTTGTTGTTATGTGCCGTCAAGTCAGACGCAACTCATAGCGACCCCTCCTTGCGTTTCCAAGGCAGTATCACTATGGAAGTAGATTGCCCAACCTTCCTTCTGAGGAGTGGCTGGTGGATTTGAACCACCAGCCTTCTGGTTAGCAGACAAATGCCTTAGGCACTACACCACCAGAGCTCCCCTGACCTTGTCTAGCACAGATCAATCTTTCACATCACTGTTCCCAGTCCCACATGAAACCAGAATGAAAAGTGATCTTTTTTTTTAACTAAATATTTTGATTCATACCTTGAAAAGGTCCATTCTCCATTTGAACATCCCTTCATCTTAGGAGCAGACCAAAGGGATCAAGCCCTGCCTGGCTTGTCACAGCCTAAACTAAACCAAACCCACACCATCAAGTCAATTCCAACTCACAGTGACCCTATAGGACAGAGTAGAACTGTGCCATATGGTTTCCAAGGCTGATGAAGTGTAGATATTTTGAGCCAGAATGCCTAGATTTGTATTCTAGCTGTGTCACATTGGGTAAGTAACTGAACGTTTTCATGCTTCAATTTCCTCATTGGTAAAATTAGGGTAAGAGCTCTTAGTTGTTGTGAGGATCAAATGTATTGAAATGTAAGAGGTAGCTTTTACTGCTTCTCACTGACATTTCTGGTTCTCTGTGCTGCCTAGTCCATGGGAAGATTACCTCTCCACTTCTATGAAGTTAAATGTGATCATGTGACTTGCTTAGGCCAATGAAACTTGACAGGAAGTCATGTGTGTCACTTCTGAAGGAAGCTTGGGGAGATGACACCCAGGTTCTCTCTTCTCTTGTCATGACCATCACAGACAACAGACTTGTGCTAAACTCCTGAGATACTAGGAATTGTTGTTACCACAGCAGAGCTTTTACCAAAAAAAAAAAAAAAAAGAAAAAATCCTTGCCAGGGAGCTGATTCCAACTCACAGTGACCCTACAGGACAGAGTACAACTGCCCAATAGTGTTTCCAACTCCTCTCCCAGCCTCCTCTGGCCTCCTCTCTGAAGCAGATAACTCCTCCCCACCGCCTTCCTGATTCCCTGTCTCAGCATCTTTTCCCTGGTTTTCATATTGCAGCCCAATTCGTAATTACTTTTGCTTGTTTGTTCACGTCTTCCCTATCTTTCTCCAGCTCCAGAGCAGAAGTTCCATGAAGACAGAGTCCACATCGCTCTTGTGGACGTCTTTATCTTCAGAGCTAGAACAGATCCTGGTACACAGCAAGCACACTATAATTAGCTAGGGAAGGACAGGGGGCGAGGGATAGAAAAGAGAGCAGAAGGGAGGGCTGTCCTGGAATTAAATTGCCCCCAAAGCTCAATTTTCCTTTCTACTACCCTAAAATGTCTACTACCAATAGTAATTGGGAGTTTCTAACAGAAGTGATGAATATTCTGAAGATAAATGTATTTTTAATGAAATGATGCTGCTGTACTTTCAGGAACAGTATATAGGATAAGCTATAGGTTGTTGTTATTAGATGCCATTTAGTCAGTTCCGACTCAAAGCGACCCTGTGTGCAACAGAATCGAAAACTGCCCAGTCTTAAATGTAATCTTCAGCCAAAATAAATCAATACAAAGCAATTCAAAATCAGCATTTATTACAAGATAATGTATTGTCAACACAAAAAATTCACAACCTGAGTTATGCTTTTTTTATTTTGAACATTTCACTCAATAAAAGTCTGATATACTGGGTCTAAGTGATGTGACACATTCCAAACTAATGAAACTTTTTTGTACTTTAAATAAGTTTAGATCACCAACCGTTAAGGATTGAATTGTGTCCCTCAAAAATAGGTTGTAAATTCTAACCTCTGTGCCTATGGTTATAATCCCATTAGGGAATGGATTGTCTTTGTTATGTTAGTGAAGCAGGATTAGTGCTGGGTGTATTTTGAGTCAATCTCTTTGGAGATATAAAAGAGATTAAACAATCCAGCAGAGGAGAGATGGTGGAAGAGAGAAGCCATGCTCAAGAGAGAGGATCTTCCTCCAGAGCCCACACAGAGAGAAAGTCTTCCCCTAGAGCCAGTATTCAGACTCCTAACCTCCTAAACTGTGAGAAAATAAATTTGTTTATTAAAGCTACCCATTTGTGCTATTTCTGTTATAAGAAGGTGCTCTGGTGATACAGTAGTTAGGGCATTTGACTGATAACCAAAAGGTCAGTGGTTTGAGCCCACCAGCCACACCACAGAAGAAAGATGGGGTGGTCTGCTTCCATAAAGGTTTACAGCCTTGGAAACCCAGTGGGGGTCGCTATGAGTCAGAATCGACTCACTGGCAGTGAGTTTGGTTTGGTTTTGGAGATAACTAAGATGCCAAGTAAATCAAAGCTAAGTATATTTGCACAACTCAAGAAAGATGTGAATGGATTAGACTCTCAAATGGTTTATGCTTCTTCATTTACAACAATCTTTGAGAGTCTTATAAGTGACATATTAGAGTATGTGCTTCCAAACACCAAAACTAAAATATACAGAATATTCTTCTTTACTTTCACTATCTAAATGTCACAGACCAAGAAATATCAGATACATGGGTGTTATGGGCTGAATTATGTCATCAAAAAAGATAGCTTGAAATTCTAACACCTTTGCCTGTTAATGTGAACTTTTGGGGGAACAGAGCCTTTCTTTGACGATATTATCAGTTAAATCAGTCCAGAGTATAGTGGGTCCTAGTCCTAATCTTTTCTGAGTGGTAGCTTATAATGGGGAATGCAGACACAGAAGGAAGTTATACACAGGGAGAAGGTGCCATGTGAAGATACACCTAGAAGCAGCAAAGGAACTTGAAGGATTGCCAGCGGCCACTGGAAGCTATGAGAAAGACATGGTACAGTCAGAAGGAACTGACACAGTTGATAACCTGATTTGGAATTCTAGCCTCCAGATCTGTGAGACAATAAATTTATGTTCTTGAAAGCCATCCATTTTTTCATAATTTGTTACAGCAGTCCAGGAAACTAAGACAATGGAGATGAAGTCTGATCACAACTCAGTCATTTACGGTTGGGGGATTCATTCTCTCTGCTGATCACCAGGTCAGGCCACCATTATTGATCTCATGTCATGTTCCTCCTCATCAATCCACTCTACATATGGAGCCAGACACGATGATCAAAAGAGAATGGCTGTTGGTTGTCAGCTAACTGTCCTTTTTCATCTCTTGCAAAGGCACCAACAAACTATTTAGAAAGTAGTAGACTCTACTGTTCGAATCCTTTGAATGGAAGAGTCTTAAACAAGATTCATGTAAGGGGAAACAGTGGGGGTCAGAGAGTCCTCTAGAGGCCAGTGAACCAGACAACCTAATTATCAGACAATAAGCACCATCTTCACTAGCGTTTTCTTGATCTGGGAAGACTCCAGCATTTTGTTATAAATTAACCACCTTCTTAAAATTAGCTGTTATTTGGCAGCTGCTGCAGAAGAAAAGGAACCAAAGGTGATGGTGCAATTTCATTGATTTCTCTTTTCAACAAGCAAATAAGAGAACCTAAGTCTTTCTCAAATGTCAAGAGTTTATCTTTGTGAGCAAAAGACAAATTATTTTAGGAGTTAAGAGTGTACCTACTAAGATCCAATCGTACTTTCTCTCTGCTTCTAAGCATTTTCTCAATGCCATTGATAGATGGGGCCTTTGGTCAACCAATTGTAAACACTCAGCATCAGCCATGTATTTAAACTACCTTTGCTGACTGGGGGATATAAACGGAGTCCTTGGATGGCACAAATGGTAATGTGCTCAACTGGTAACTGGAAGGTTGGAGGTTCAAGTCTACCTGGGAATATCTTGGAAGAAAGGCCTGGTAATCTTTTGAAAAATTGGCCATTGATAACTTTATGGAGCACAGATCTACTCTGACAAACATGGGCCACCATGAATCAGAATACATTCAATAACTATCAATTTGGGACTTAAAAGTGAATGATAACATTTTTGTCATTAGGGCCAAGTCAACTGCCTCTTTTTTTAAGCTTCCTGCTCCACTCAGAATGAATGAGTGAATGAATGAATGAAAGTTGGAATGCTTGCCTAAATGCTGCTCTTCTGGTGAAAACTCAGCTGAGGCTAATAAAGATAATGTTTAGAAATACAGTACAAAGCATCCAATACATTGTTTTAAATTTTTATTTGCATAAAAAACAGAGTGGAAATAGGTTTGCAATAACTTATCTGCATGTACAAAGTAATCCATGTAGATAACAAGAGGCAAGCCCTGGAACAAATTGCAGGATAAAGTGTTCATCAAAATTGTGTCTCTTTCCAATAGCAGCTGATGGAAAATCACTGTTTTACAAGAGTCAAAAAGCACCAAAAAACTCCATCTATTTAAAGAATCCCCAAATTCAGAAAGGTTATATGCTAACATGTCTTCTTGGATGCTGGTGATTCCAGTTACCAAGCAATCTCAGAGTTGAACAGATCAATTAAGCAAGAGGTAGTTTCTCCAATAATGTCCCTTTCCTTATCAGCAAGGTCATTTCCATAGGGTATAGGAGTGAACGGTATAATCTTTTAATCCCTTTAAATCCCTTTTCTGCTGGGACCCCTCTCCCCTGACTATAACCATGTCTATCATGTTGCATTTTGGGTCCTGAGGTCATTGAACAGAGAAAAGATTCCAGGATTCAATTTTTTATTTCCAATTCCTCTTCTCTGAAAACACAGATAATCTGGTGTGCCATTAAAACAGCCAAGGGAAATCAATTCTGTGGTGTTATAAAGGGGATTTTTTTTTTTTTTTTTTTTTAGTAAAAATAATATTAACATTTTCCAAGGAAGAGATTTAGGCTGCTGATATGATCCCACAAAGGTAGCATACAAACCGCATGGCAACATTCTCAAATACGCTTCCTTAAGGGTTCTGGTGGTTGATCTTCAAACTTCTCCTGAATCCATCAGATCCCGGGGCCCCACAGTTCCAAAGCTTCCAGCTCATCTTGGACAGGAGTGAATTCCGGCTGATCAGGATGGGAAGCTAGAGAGGAAGAGTGGGGGTGGGGGCTTGCTAGAACCCAGGAACCTTAAATTGATATTCTCCACTCATATGGGTCCTTAGAGACATAGATTTGGTCACTAAACAACAGAGATGATCCTGCTCAGGTAGAAAGTCATGTTAACCCACCACGTCGCCACTTCCACCTTTCCCATGAGGTTTCACATGGTTAGTAGAGAAGGAAGAAAAAGAGACGTTACAGAAATTGTTAGAACACCAGAATCACAGCCAACTGTTTAAATATTATATCTTTTATTTACAAAAGGAACCCTGAAAAATCAGTAGAATTATGGAAGAAAAATAAATTTTGAAAACAGGTCTCATGTTAGAAGTTCATCACCATGGGAGAGTGAGGAGGGGAGGTGATCAGGGGAGGAAGGGAGAGAAGGGTGGTCAGGGAACAAGATGCCTGTGATTGCTGTGTGGGGACAGGAAAGAGGTGAAGGCACATTTAGGTAACGTTATTATGGGGGAGGAGTTTGGGATTGATTGCTGGTACACAATCATAATATATCTAACCTAGGCTGACAGGGAATGGTCAGTGTCTATTATAGTTAACAAATGTGATTGGCCTTTCAATATTATTACTGCATTGTGTTGGGAGCAGAGAGGGCAAGACATGTGAAACTGGGCAGGCATGGAAGCAGGTGAGGCAGGGAAGAGCAGTGCCCATTGTTAGGGGTGGGGGCTTGGTGGTGGTGGTCAACAGGATAGTTCTGTACCCATCATAGCCAACTACCCGGGCCAATGCAGTGGGAGTGGAGCAGTTCCACTTCACTGCCGGTAATCGTTGTAAGGGATCAGCTCTTAACAAGGGACAAGAGAATTTGAGAGAACAAGGAGGGAAAAGATGAACAGAGAAACACATCAGCAAAACATTAACCAGTTCCACTGGCAACTAAGGTTAAATTGCTCCTGAAGCAGAAAATTTAAATGCACACACTAGTAAGTCCAGTGCCCCACAGCACGCTCTGAACCTCTCTGGATGCTTCCAAGAGGGACTATGTCCACAAATGTCCTGTTGCCCAGCGTGCCCCTTGTGACAGCATGGGGACTGCACATGCTTTTAGGAAACATGATCTTTTTAGACTCTCATTATACTAGTCAGTGATGAGGCAAGGGCAATATGGCCACTTTTATTTCTTCTTAAACTATTCTTGGTCAACTAAAATGCATGTGGTAAGCAGAATGTCACCTAAAAGAATCGAGGGGCCCTTCTAATTATGGGGGATGTTCGAGGTTTGAGGTTTCTCTGAAATAAGAGTATAATCAACAGGAGATCATAGCCAGGTCACAGCAGTAACAGAATGGGGCACACCAGAATGCTCATTCATGTCACCCGGTGACCAAATGGTGAGTTAGAAGCTGAGTCTATAGGGATCATCATTTGGAAGCAAGGAAGACCTATGTGCTGTTATTCAGAATTTACTCTTAAAATTTTTAAAGGGGTGGCTGCTACAGTAATTTGCACTTTGTAGAAAATGCTCTGGATAATTTAAGGCAGTGAGGAATTTAAGTTCTGTTTCCCTCCCACAACCTGTCTACTTGTCATAGCACCCTCTCCTATTATGGTGTCAACCATTGTACAACATCACTCCAAGCCTACAAGAAGGCCGGCACTCACCTCCCACGCCATAGGAAGAACATGAAGAGGGGTCGCAGTATCCAGGTTGGCCGGAAGGACCTTGTGGTCCAGGCACCCCTAGGTGGCCTGGTGGACCCCTTGGTCCAGGAGAGCCAGGTGGCCCCGGACTGCCAGGTCGACTCTCCCCTGAAGGTCCTAAGAAGCATCCACAAATAAAAATATATATATATGTATATATTTTAATCACAAGGTGAGTTTTTAGATCACCAAGAAGTAAAATAACTCTTACACATCTTGGTAATTAGGATAAACTGTGTCTCCCTACACACTGGGCTCCTATTCCTCCACTCATTGCGCCCTTATTCCTATACTCATTGAGCTCTTATTTCTGTACTGGATTGATTCTGTAGGTGGCGGACCATACTGCAATCACACATTCTCCCGGAGGTTGATAGTTTTGATTTGCTTGGGAATATTTTTTCCTACTACGTTTTGAATATCGAGGAGCATACTGCCTCTAACCTTGGTTTCCCTGCGGAGTTTCTATCATGTGATGCATTTGTTTAAGCATTCAATGGATAGACTGGGAGAAAAATGGATCACAAAATTCAAATTCCTAAAGTAGTCCTGGCCTACTGGACCAATAGAGACTAGAGGAACCCCCAAGACTGTCACCCTAAGATGCCCTTTGAACTTGGAACTGAAGCTATTTCTGGAGATGAACTTTCAGCCAAATAATAGATTGACTTATAAAATAAACATCATCTGTGAGTAATGTGCTCCCTTAAACAATCGACTATGAGGCCAAATGGTCAACATTTACCCAAAAGCAGAGATGAGAAAGCCAGGAGGGGCAGGGAAACTAGATCAATGGAAACAGAATGGAAATAATGAAAATGCTGACACCTTGTGAAAACTGTAACCAACGTCATGAAGCAGTTTATATAAAAATTGTTAAATGGGAACCTAATGCGCTGTGTAAACTTTCACCTAAAACACGATAAAATATTATTTTTTTAAAAAATAAGATGACACCTCAAATTAAAAAAAAATTCAGCGTATGGATGTGTATACACATGCACATGTACACACACGTTCACATGCACACACACGTGAACAAACTCAAACCTCATCCTTATAATCTAGTTAGAGTAGTCACGAAAATCTGTACTGGCTTGTGGCTCCAGATATTTAAAATAAATCAGTATGAATCTGAAAGTAATTATCCTGGAGGAGACAAATGAAAAGTCTGACAGTGGACTCTACACTAATCCAAAATTTCTTTAGTGTACTATCGTCAGAAAGAGCAACTGAGAATTTAGATTGAGAAAAAATGAGAGGCAGATTAACACTTGTGAGTTTAAGCTTGCCAGGCTGGGAATTTTGGTTTGTCTGTTTGTTTTTCAGGTCTAGATTCCAACAGTGTTTAAAGGCATTCTTCAATTAGAACTGAAATTCTGCAACCAGAACAGAAATGTCAAAGCAAACATCCCCTTAGGTTTGAAAAGCATGTGGCTTTCAGAGACATCCAGTTCCATTCAATCAACATTCACCAAACCCCCATTCTCTATAAAGCAAGATGCCAGACTAGTCCCTCCAACAAGCTGTTTGGAATGTAAGAGGCTTTACATTCCAAATGAATCTCTTACATTAAGAATATCTTCTAGAAAAATTTGTTTTCCAAAATCATTATTAGGTTGGAAACAAAAATCTATAAAGCATTTGATTCAATGTGGTTAAGACTGTGATTTTAAATATAACTGGACCACAAATTTACAATTCTTATAAGTTTGGTCATCTGGAAACCATTCAAAAAGCACAGAATAATGTACCCAAAACACAAAACTTACACAAAACTCATTCATTAAGACTCTCATATTGTTGTGAGTTGTTTTTAAGTGCCTATTGGGTGAATTTCAACCCACAGCAACCTCTTGTGACAGAGCAGAACTGCCACATAGGGCTTCCTAGGCTATAATCTTCATGGGAGAAGGCTTGGTGGTGTAGTGGTTAAACTGCTTGGCTGGAAACCAAAAGGTTGGTTGTTCAACCTCAGCAGTAGTAGCTCTGTGGAAGAAAGATGAGGCGGTCTGCTTCCATAAAGATTTACAGCCTTGGAAATTCAGTGGGGCTGTTATAAGTCAGAATTAACTCCGTGGCAGTGAGTTTGTTTTTTTGATTTTGATAGGGTCACTATGAGTCAGAATCAACTTGACAGCAAAGGTTTTTTTTTTTTTCTTAATCTTCATGGAAGTGATCAACAGGTCTTTTTCCTGTGGAGCCACTAGGTGGGTTGAAGCATGGGTTTGAGCTGCCAATCTTTTGGTTAGTAGTCAAGCACTTAACTGTTGCACCACTAGGGCTCCTTAAGACTATATCACGTTGTTGTTATTGTTGTTATGTGCCATCGAGTCAGCCCCGACTCATAGCGACCCCTCCTTGGGTTTCTGAGGCAGTATCACTATGGAAGTAG